CATATTCCATTTGATTATTTTTTTTTTTATTTCTCGAATTCTCCATGTTGTAATTTTACTTTTACTTTTTCTAGCTTGGATTATTTTATCCAGTTTGTTCTGCAAGATGCCCACTAAATAAAAGGTAAATCCAGAAAGGCGTGGGACAACCGTTAAAAGGTGGTGACAACAGATGTGACTGAAAAAAATTAAATAGAATTTTTGTACATTTCCTCAATCCCACGTCGTATGTTCTTCTTTGAAAAGTACAATAACTTGTCACTCAAAACCAGTGAATTGTTTAGCCATATTAAAAGAGCAGAATGAAAGACGAAAGTTGTCTTCAAATAACCTTTAAATGACGAGTCACGAGATCGATCAACAATTAATCAATCATAGAAGAACCAATCAGAATAAAGTAATTATGCAAGAGTCCAACGATTATTCAAGGTAATGAATATTCAAGGAATTTATTCAAAGTTATTCATGGTCAATTTTTCTTGAAAGATAAAACGGTGACAATAAATTTTTCGCGTTTTTTTTTTTTTTTACTTGGCACCTTGTACTTTGGTAACTTTTGTAATCGTTCCTTACTTTAAACGTAAATTCCTCTAGACATTTAATAGTTGGCTATGTTAACAGAATCTTCACTACTACCGAGGATTTTTCTTTAATTAAATATATCAACGTCATGGTTAGTATAGAGAGGATTTATTTCTACATTGCTGAAATAATGTTCCCATCATCATATGTAAAGTGGAAACGAAATCATATCAATTCCTCTGAATACACCATGGTTTGGTTTGGTTTGTTTAACGGCATATCACGCTCAATGGTTTATTTAAAGCAGACATTTTAGGATAGATTCGTATGAATAGAATATGTATTCTTTGGTTTAGTTTGGTTTGGTTTATTTTGTTTTACGGCATATCAACCTCAATGGGTTATTTAATGCCGACAACATTTTTAGGAGAGATTTGTATGAATAGAATATGTATTCTTTGATTTATTTTGGTTTGGTTTATTTTGTTTTACGGCATATCAACCTCAATGGGTTATTTAATGCCGACAACATTTTTAGAATAGATCCACATGAATAGAACATGTATTCTTGGGGTTAGATTTGTTTGGTTTATTTTGTTTTACGTCATATCAACCTCAATGGGATATTTAATGCCGACAATTTTTTTATAGCTAGTAACGTTTTTCTTCAAAAATCACTTTAGGATAGATTTGTATGAATAGAACATGTATTCTTTGGTTTAGTTTGGTTTGGTTTAGTTTGTTTTACGGCATATCAACCTCAATGGGTTATTTAATGCCGACAAAAATTTTTATTGCTGGTAATATTTTGTTTTGTCAAAAAACAGTGTCTGGTAATTTTTTCCCACGAAATTGTATTGCTTGTAATATTTTTTACAAAAAAGTATTCCTGGTAATAGTTAACTATTTGTCCATAGCTGGGACCTTAACAGGTGCTACCACCCCGGGTCGGGGTGGATCTGGAAATACCGGCAATTAAGAGGCGGTTTCACGCTCCTCAACACCTCCTGTTCCGATGCCTTGCTGCTGGACGTAGTTCATCGTCTTACCCAGGACGCAGATATAGTTTAAGGGCTTAACCAGGACGAGAGTTTTTTTTTTTTTAATCACTGAATTTTGATATCACTCGTGTTTCGATGATTTCGGCAAGCTTCGACGTTTTTACGAGACGAGCCACAACCCGTATATGACATTTCTAAAAACAGATAGACTGCGCCACGATTGTTGACGTTAGACATCGATGTAGAAGAATACTGGCAATGCAATTGATTTGAAAGACTGCATTTGTTGGCAATTTGATTGCTTCTTTAAATGTTAATGCGAATACAAACACCGTTTATAGCGTCTTCATTAAAGCTGTTATTTTCTTTCTCATTAGAATTTCTTTCCTTTCTCTCTTTATGGTCTTTTTTTTTTTTTCGCTTTATTTTTGCATTCTGCTATGACTTCTGTATCTGTCTATATTTCTGAGATGAGGTTTGATGTACATTATTTACATTATTCCGAATATTGTCTTCAACTTTGTCGCCATATTCACTGTGCCAGGCGTTGGTTAGATCCAGTGACAGGACCCAAAGAGTGTGAATTCAATACCCGGTTAAGGCAGTGGAGAACTTTCAGAGGGAAATTAACAGGAGATAACTGATAACTGACATCCATCAAACATGGCACGTGGAACTAGAACAGTCTACCCCAGTGAGCGAAATAAATGGTTAAGTTCGACATTCCAACCAGCTGAAGAAGACCGGAACGTACGACGGCCGAAACGTTGTAATAAATATGGCGGCAAAGATGAGGACGATAGTCCGAATAATATAAATTATGTACTATGTCTTTTGTTGTTTTCTTTCATTGCTTCTATTTTGATTCGTTAGTGATCGTGGTGGGGAGGCTTTTTTTCTTTATCTTATTATTCTTAGAATTTCTTCTTTTTTCTTTCGATTCCTGCATATTTCTTTGGTGATATATTCTGTATTTTTTTAATTTTTAACCTTTTTTCGTATTTATTTTCCAATTTTCCTCCTATGATTTCTATTAATTTGCTTTAGTTTTTTTTTTTTAATTTTCAATTTTTCGTATTTGATTTTTTTTTCTTCCGATTTTGATTTTAACTTCTTTTGTATTTTTATTGTTTACACTCATTCTTCATTTCGCGTCTTTTTTTTTTTTTTTTTTTTTCGTTTGTGATTTTTTGGGTTATTTTTTTTTCTTTACCTATAGACTATATTTCTCTTTCTTACAATTCTATTCCATTCTTTTTATGTTTTATCTGTTGCTTTTTCCTTTTCTTTTTTTAATTCCTTCCGAGTTCTACTCTTTTACATTTTTTCGTTTGATTTTTTTTTCTTCCTTTCATTATTCTTTTTTGTTTTGTTTTCCAAAATTTTATTTTATTTTGCTTTGACATTCTTTTTTTTCTTTCATTTGTTCTTCTTGCAATAATTTTTCCTACTTTATCTTTAAATCTCTTATTTTTTTCTCCTTTTTCTTGCTTTCATTTTCTTCCACGTTTCTTCTTTCTTAGTTGTTCCTTTTCTTTCTTTTTTATTTAATACCCTTTTTTAAAAATTTGGTTTGGTAATTTCCTTACACTTTCTGTCTCTTATTCACACTCTTTTTTCATTCTTTCAGTATCTTCTTTTCTATTTCTATATTCTATATTTCATTTTATCACATTTCTTTTTTTCTGTTTCATTACTTCATTCTAAACTATTATAATTACTTTCATTTTGTTTCTTCAATTTTTTTAAATTTTTCCCTCATATTCTTTCCATTCTTTTTCCTTATTTGTCATTCTTGATTTATTTGTTAATTAGATTCGATTTTTCTGCATCTGGATTTGGTTTTCTTTTTTTTATTTTATTTTTCTTTCATTTTCTTCTTTTTCTTTGTTTTATTTTCGTTTTCATTCTTATTTTCATATTAGTATTTTTTCATTTTATTAATTTTCTTTTTTTTCCTTCTTTCCATTTTCATTCACACTTTTTTTTCTATTAGTGATTAATTCTTTCTTCTTTCTTTAGCTTTTATTTCTTTCCTTGTTTCTTTTCACTTTATTTTCGTTTTATGTCTTTTCTTTATTATCTTTGATTATTATTTTTCTATTTATTCACTAGCTTTTCTTTTAAGGTTGCTCATTTTTTTTTCATTAATAAGTTTTCTTTCTGTCTTAAGTGAACGATGTCACTTCAATGGCACAAACGAGTAAATTAACCTTTGTAAATTCAGTAGGACCAAATTTGGTTAAAACGAAAATATTGCCATGGTAACTAAAATCTAACCAATCAGCAAAAAGAAAGCAACATTTCTAACGAATAAAAATAAGGAAACCAGACAATAAAATAAACAGTTTCCGGTGTCTTCTAAAAAGTGAGAAATAATTTGAAATTTATTAATGTCAACATGCTTCTACTATGATAACAACAATAAATCATTTTTATCACGAGCAGAATTTACATTTTATGCTCAAAACTTCTTGTTTTATAAAGTCTAAAAGATTACATGCAATAAGACTATTAAAGCCCCAGCTTTTAAACAGATATTTCATGCATGAAAATTTTCTTTCATTCAGTCAGTTAATACGAGACACACACTAAGGCAATCATGTATCTTTCGATACATGACTGGCGGGGCAGTTTTTTTCCGCAGTACGTGGTCATTTCTTTCTGCGGTAGACTGCTCGCCAACAAAAGTCTAAAGAAGCCAGTCTGTCTGTCCTGCTACTCAACCCAAGAGTGAGGGGGAGAACAGTTGGAGTTATACCTTTCCGAAATGTAATTTGGTGTAAGCGCATATAACGAACTCGACTGGAATTCGAACTCGGTTCATCGAGTTCTCACGCCGAGCTGATATACATTATACCACAGCGCATTACAATTACGAATTACAATTTTTTTAGGCATTGAGTTTATTAAAGATACCATTTCGCTATTTCGTATTCAAAAACATTTTTCCATAAACATTACCAGCATTTTTATAACATCGGGGGGGGTCATAGGAAAACTTTGCCGGCAAAACTTTATTTCTGCTTAAAACCTAGGATGTAAATATATCGACTTCAGTATATGTACATATATGAGATTATTTTTTTTAAATTTTTTGTTACTCCTTAAAATTGTCTAACGCTTTGTGTTTTACATATTTGACATATTATTCTTAGACAGATAAAAGGACATTGCTACTATGTTTTTTCCAACATTTTCGTTTCATGGCGGTATCACAGAAACATTTCCCGTAGACTGAGTTGAAGTGGATACAGTATTTGTACACTCTTATAAAATTACTATCGTTAAATTATTGTTTGTTCTACTAAATTCGTTCATAGTTAGATAAGGATGCCATTTGCTTGCATGGTTAAGTAATAATAAAAATATATATACAAAATATTACAGTTTCTTTACATTTTTCTTTTTCATTTCTTTCGTTTAACATATCCTTTCTTTTTTTATTATTCATTTTCTTCTTCTGTAGTTTAATCTATGCATCTTGAATTTCATTCCTTCTTTTCCTTTTCTTTTTCCCTGATTATTTTCTGTTTCTTCCCTGTTTCTTCACCCTTTCTATTCTTTCTTTCTTCTTACTTTCACGTTTTTTTCTATTACTTCTTTTTTTTTCGAATTCAGAAATATTTTCCTTCATCATATTTCATTCTTGCAAGTTCTGTCTTTCTTCCTTTCTTTTTATCTTTTTCTTCTTTTTTCTCTCTTCTTTTTTTCCTATCTTCTTTTCTTTCTATCTTCATTTTTTCCTCTTTACATTTCTTCCTATATATTTTGCTTTCTATTTTCTTATCTTTCTATCTACGTTTCTTTCTGTCTTCTTTTCTTCCTATATATTTTGCTTTCTATCTTCTTTACTTTCTGTCTTCTTTTTTTCTATCCACTTTTCTTTCTATATTTCTTTCTTTCATTGTTTTCCTTTTAAGATTTTTACGTTTTCTTTTTATTTCTTTTTTTATTTCTTTTTCGTGCAAGTTTAACATTCGTTAAAAAACAACAAAAACTCTATCAAAAAAGAACTGTTTTTCTCTTTACCAGGCTGTTATTATATATTCCCTCACCAACTTGTTCGATATAATTTCATATTAAATTATTAAAACAGTTTTAAAATTATTAAATAATTTACATGCAAAAATTATTAAAGTAGATTTTTTTTAAATAAAAAATGCTTACGTAGTATATATTAATAGCGGTTTTAAGATATAAACGTTCTTTCACGCGCCATTTTTTGTTTTGTTTTGTTTTAGCGGTTTCTCCTTTTGATGTACCGTGTCCCGTCAGTACGTAGGCGATCATGGCCGTCCACTTTACTCTATCTCTTGTAGCTCTCAATAGGTTTTTTCCCTTTGCTACTTCGCTCAGGCCATATTCTGCCATTCATTTGCTTAAGCCTGCTCGGTCTGTTGTGTGTTACTTTCTCTTGTCTATCTTTCTCGCCCGGTTCTCATTACGTTTTCCAGAAATTTCAACTCCTTCTTCCAAATGTTAAGTATAAGATTCCTCCTTTGTTTTCATCCTCTTTAAAACCTCATCGTTGCTCATATGTTTGGCCCATGATATCCTTAGCATCCTTCTGTAGAACCACACCACTATTGCCTCGAGTCTCTTCTTCATCTTTGAAGAGACCGTCCAACATTCGCTGCCGTAAAAGAGGACCGATACCACGTAGCAGTTCAGTACTCTTTTCTTTGGTACCAACGAAACCCTATTGTCTCATAATACTCAGCCTAACGTTTTCAACGCTTCTTTAGCCATCCCAATGCGTCTTCGGATCTCAGCGTCGCATTTATCGTCCTCTGTCAGAACACTTCCCAGATACTTAAATTTCCGCACCCAGTTGATTTTAGTTTCCTCGACCTGTTATCACATTTTGGGTACATCTTTTTACTAATGACCATGCATTCTGTCTCCCTGTAAGTTATGCTTAGTCCCTTCTCCCTTCTCCTGTAGGAGTTTTTGTAATTTCCTTTCCGTCATCTGCATATCTTATATTGTTAAGATTATGGCTGTCAATGATTAATCCTGGTAGGATTTCTAGTTCTGTCAGATTGTTTCGCTGGGTTACGCCCTTTTTTTATTTTTGTCTATCTGCTGAACTCATTTCCTATCCGGAACTAATAATATAATGAAAGTGCTGACTTTTCAAAGAACTTTAAACAAAACTTTGAGATACACTGCCATCAATTCGAGAATGTGTGATTTTTCTTTTATAAACAAAGTAAACCATTACCTGAAATATTGTTGTCCATCATATCCTTAATATCTTTCTGTAGAACCATACGTCCGTTGCCTTTTTGAGGAGACCGTCCAACATTCGCTGCCGTAAAGGAGGACCCATGTCGCGTAGTAGCTTAGTACTCTTCTATTTGTTACCAAAGAAATCACCCTCTCTCGTAATAATCTGCCTAGCTTTTGGAATTCGCCTTTAGCCATCCCATGACGTCTTCGGATATCAGCATCTCATTTGCCTTCCTCGAGTAGTTGCGCATGTTAAACATTGCCTATTCTTTTTTTTCATTGTTTTCTTCGTAATAACTTTTTTGTTCTTTTTTCCTTTGCCTTATATTTTGCTTTTGAATATTTCTACCTTTATTTTTATTCATTATCTATTTTATTATCCATGGCTTTTTTTTCTTTTTTTTCCCTCGGTTTCTTCATTTCATTCTAATCTTTTATTTTTCACCTGAATTAGTTTTAAATCATTTTCTTGATCTTTCTTCTTCTTTCTATACTTCAGCTCTCTTTCATTTTCCATTCAGACATTTTCCTTTCAGTTTCTCAAATAAAATATACATTATTCTATTAGCTATTTTTTCTTCATACACCCATTCATCATATCTCACATTTGTGGGTCGTTGGTGCTTCATATCAACTGCAGCAGCAGCAATGAAGCCTATCGGGCAAGCTAAGTGAATTGATCCTATCCGTCTTTGGACTGGTTTTAAATTGTCCATCTCTTAGACTAGTTGCCCGACCAAAGCAAGTTAGTCTTATAATTTCAACCATACCTATTTTCGTTTGCAATATTCTGTAGGATATCCTTGCAATATACTGTAGGATATCCTACTTATACTAGCAGCATGGCCCGGCGTTGCCAGTGCTTGATTCAAAAATCGTACGACTCATACAACAATCGCTATCACTTGACTTTAAATATTTTTGCCCTTCCTTGCCTTTAAACGAGTGCTCTTTGCCGTGCTGATATTGCTACATGCCTTACTTCTTGCCTATCTCACACTGCGAATGTTTTCTAAGCTCTATACTAAATATTAAATCTGTTACGAAAAAAGAACTTAATAAAATGAACACAAAACGATCAGCTTTAAAAAAAAGGACTCGTAACTGGAAAAACCGAATGAAAAAGGAATGTTAACAACAATTACTTTTTCACACCGAACCCAGTTCTGCGGAATCAGAATCAACGTTGAGTTTAAGCAAGCGAATGAGCCAATTGGAGTAAAGTGCCATGCAGATTTAAATTTTTACCACTTGTGACGAATGCAGCTATCGATTTTTTTTTTTTGCATGCTAGCATGCTAGTTAAAATTCGTGTCAGTCAACTGTTGGCTCTCACGCTGGCCAATAGAATCTTCCTTCCTATTCGTGGCAGCCAGCTATAGGCTCTCACTCTGGCCAGTAGAAAATGGCGGCAAACTCCATGAAAACTCCCGTAGAAGCATTAAGAAATCGATTATTTCCACTATCGATGGGAGTTAGGGAATGCAAAGTCGGTCTTAGCCTTTTCACTAACTTGGAGCGTGTGCATGGAAATTTTGGTGCAAATCCGTTGGAAATTGCGGACGTGCATTCGTTACACACACACACACACACACACACACACTGTCTTTTATAGATAGAAGATGTCTGCCATCGAAAATATGTCAGCTGTATATCTATGTTGTTCATATTGTACCCACAAATAATAAACCCTGGAAGCACTTCTAGTTCGTTTTAGACTGTCTGGATGTATAGGCTAAATAAATTGTTGTTTCATGCGTTTCTCACGAGATTCAATATGAACTGAGCACCAAACATTCTCGACAAGTATTTGAACTCAGCGTATCGCTTCCATTTTCTGCTGTTTCTACATAACGTCAATCTTATATCCCACATTCATCAGTGTCTTCAAATGTTTATTTTTCTGATTCATTTTCTTAATAAATCACCCTGTTTATCTATCAATTTTCTTTTTCTTTCTTTATTATCATTTCTTCACACACCCCCTGAAGCAAATATTCACATCCTGTTTTCAATTATCGCTTGTTGTGTGGATCTTCTGTTTTAACATTATAATTCCTTGTTTGTTGTCTCTTCAGATTTTTTTTTATCCTATTCATTCATTACTCAATATATAGTGACTCGTTTTTGATACTACGTTTTTCTGTTTTCTTTCGTAACTTCTTGTTCTCCAAATGCAATATTTTCTATTCTACGTTATTAGTTTCAGGCTCCAACTTCACAATTTTCTGGCTTGAATGCCCTTTGCTTGTTACTTCCAATAATATGAAGAAAGACATAGCGTTCAGCGATATGTGAACTTAAATGCAAAATCCCAGAAGCTTGTCTTCTGTTGCTGCTGATTTTTTTAAAAAGAAATTTGCTAGTCTATTCCAAACTTTCACGTTATATTTTTGTTTTTCTTTCCTATTAAAGGTCCTGAATTATATGATTTCTGAAATGAATTATTCATATTATTGATTTTTTAGAGAGCCTTTGTAGTTTCTTACTCTTGCTCTTATGGAAAAATTCTAGCGCCTTCAACTTTTAATACACTAACATGAAGAAATAAATTGCTTCCAAAGAAACTTTACTTAAAGTCCTCAGCACCAGGAGTTCGCTTCTCTTTGCTGACGGTTTAACCAAGTGGGCTTCACGGAAAACTAATGGCTACCTCTTTATGCCAAATTTTAACCCCGCAGTGTATATTTTCTAGACACTCACATTTCATAAACTACGCAAAAGTGCTTGATAATATACGATGCAAAAAATTATTAGGTTGTTAAACAAGAATTGACGAATTTTTCGTTGTCACACATGCAATGACGAATGTTTGGTTGTCACACATGAAATGACGCATGTTTTGGTTGTCACGTGAAATAACGCATTATTTGGTTGGTTTTTATCCGATCGTCTAACGAAATGACATCCTTACTAAATAAAATATCTTGACTTATTCCTGACCCATTTTTGTTCCATATAATTATTCTTTCAATATAGTGTTATTCATAAGCTCAATGGAAATGATTACAATGAAACAACGTCGAGTAATCTAAAGTGTATGAATACAAACTGAGAAAAAGAACCATTTTTACACGGAATCGTTACATGCGATGAGAAATGGATAATCTTTGACGACAGTAAGGGAGTAGGCCAGTAGTTAGATGTGAGTGAATCACCAAAACAACACTCAAAACATAAACTTCATCCTAAAATGATAATTTTTACTGTATGGTCGTTCAAAGGCGTTATTTATTATTCATTTTTGCTTCAAGGAAAATATAACATTAACCTCGTACTGTGGAGAAATTGAGTCTATGCAGGAAAATTTGAAAAAGAAACATCCTAAACTTGTGAATCGGAATTGCACAACTTTGCTTAATGACAACGCATGTCCGCACGCTTCTCAAGCAACTGTCCAAAATCTGCATAGCCTGAATTATGAAATTTTGACAAATTCTCCATATTTACCTGAAATCTATCCTATTTTCACTTATGTAAGCATTTTTGAGCTTTTCATATGCACTAAATCATTCTCCAATATAGAAGAAGTAATCGAAACGTTTGAACTGTTTATCATTTCATAGGATGAGAATTTTTTTAAAGATGGGATCAAGAATTTCAAGACAAGTTGGAGAACAGTCATTCATCCACATGGTACCTAATTCAACTCAATAAATTAATTCATCATTTTATAAGATTGTTAATCATTTTCTATAAAGTACATCAATTTATGTGTGACAACCTAATATTTGATATACTTGGTACCATGACTTATTTGGAAAAGATAGAATAATCGAGAATATTTTCTGGAAACAAGCAGACTGCATACGTACAAAAAATAACTTAAGGTAGCACCAAAACATAGAAAGAACCATTAGACATTGATCTGTCTCTTTCATAGATTTATTTAATGTATAGACCCAGACACTCTTAAACGAAACAGTAGTGTTTCTAGTATATCTTATCGGTGGGCACAATATTAACGACGTAAGATCCAAATATATCAACGTTTTGATGCTAGACACAAAAAATAAACTGCAAGAACTCCTACAGAATATCTTAAACGAAAGCGGAAAGAAAAGACTGTCTTTAAATATTAATAATACAGTATCTGTCTATATCTCTGAGATGAGGCATTATGATTATTTATATTATTTACATTATTCGGACTGTTATCCTCATCTTCATTGCCATATTCACAACGTTTCGGCCGTTGTATGCCCCGGCCTTCTTCAGGATCTGTCTATATCTCTGAGATGAGATATTATGATTATTTACATTATTTACATTATTCGGAGTGTTATTTTCATCTCCATTGCTATATTCACAACGTTCTTCTTTAGGATATGTCTATATCTCTGAGATGAGGTATTATGATTATTTACATTATTTACATTATTCGGAGTGTTATTTTCATCTTCATTACTATATTCACAACGTTCTTCTTCAGGATCTGTCTATATCTCCGAGATGAGGTATTATGATTATTTACATTATCTGCATTATTCAGACTGTTATCCTCATCTTTATTGCCATATTCACAACGTTTCGGCCGTTGTATTCCCTGGCCTTCTTCACGATCTATTCTGTATCTCTGAGATGAGCTATTATGATTATTTACATTATTTACATTATTCTGACTGTTATCCTCATCTTCATTACGATATTCACAGCATTTCGGTCGTTGTACGTTCCGCCTTTCTTCAGGTGATTGGAATTTCGAAACGAACCCTTTATTTCGTGAACCTGTGTAGATTGTTATCCTCTTCCGGATATCTGAGTTATTTCCCTTTAGCTCAACTCTACAAGTTTTGGTTCACCACAACTGTGGCCTGGAACTGAAGTCACAACTCTTTGGGTCTAGTCACTGCCTCTAACCGACGTCTTGGGTTAAAGACAGATGGTATTATAGGACAGCCCAATATTCGAGCTTCGAATTGGGGACATCAGAAAAAATAGATATTTAGCTGTGCAATTTTATAAAGACGACGACAAACCTAACATTCTAAATGTACATTTGGATAGCGTAAGATGCCTTCCGAAAGCTAAACTAAGTATTAAGAAATACGACCGAAGAAGTATAAAAAAAGAAATTTATACTATTTTACATTGCTCGGACTGCTGTCCTCATCTATATTGTCCTATTCACGTCGGTTCGACCGTTGTACTCTCCGGTCTTCTTCAGGTGATGTACGTTGTATTTTCTAACCGAACCATTTATTTATAAAGTTCAGTTGAAAATTCTAATTTATACCACCTGAAGAAGGCCGGAGCGAACAACGGCCGAATCTTCCTGAATATAACAATAAAGAATGGAATTTGGCAGCGAACCCTTTATTTATAAAATACGGTTCGAAATTCCAAAGTATATCACATGAAGAAGGCCTGTTCGTACAAGGGCGGAAACGTCGTGAATATGAAAATAAAAGTCAACAGTCCGAATAATGTAAATAGTGTAAATAGTTACAATACCTCATCTCACAAATATAGACAGAAAAAAAATAATGTTGAAATGATTTGCGATACTGTTCCTGGACAATTGCTCGCATATTAAGAGGAGAATAAATGCATAAGACATTATGCTCTTGTGGAGGGTGCTGAGAATATCATAGTCGAAATATGGAAGCATTGAGGAAGTTTTAAGTAAAATTAGAAGAAAAAGGCCACTTACATAGAATTAGAATTAAACTGTTGGAATCTCTGGCGCACATAACGAGGAAAGAGGGCTTGGAGAATTTGACACTCAAATAATATAATGAAATCAAGAGGAATGAACTGAAACATCGAGTAGCATACAAATGAGCTTGTGTAAATAGGTGTAGGAACGGAAACTCATTCATTTGTCGACAGGGGTCGTTGATCGTCGATCCAATGTGAACGATCCTTTTCTTTAGCTGTGTAGTGGCTGTTAGGCGAGAGCCCCTCAAGAATCCAGTCTGTCCAGCTATTTATCCTTTCAATGGGGAGAAGATGAGTCATACCTTCCTCAAGCGTATTAACACGTAAGTTTATGTAATGGATCCGGCTGGAATTCGAAATCTCCGATTCCTGAATCCGAGCCGCTGGGAAACTAGAAGGGAGAGTAATGGTACAGATATTAATTAGAAGCATAAAGTCTAGGAAATTGTGGCGAGCCATACTCACACATGCCCTGAAGCTAGTTAGATAAAGGAGAAAAAGTAAAAAAAAAAAAAAATTAAAGCATATTTCTAAAATTAAGGATCGACATTAATATTTTTTTTCGTGAGTGTTTTCTTATTGCTGACTTTTTATGAATTTTTTAAGTCGTCTGATTTTTCCTTTGTTTTTTATTTCATTTCAATCGCTTTTTTTTTTCACTTCATTTCTTTCTTCAGATTTTTCTTGCCTCCTTTTTTTCTTTATGTTCGTTTTTCCTTCCTTCCTTTTTTTTTAAATGTTTATTTTATTGCTTTGTTTTTTTTTTTTCTGGTTTATTTTATTTCTTTCATTACCTTTCTTTAGATATACATTTGTTTTTTTTTTGTTTTTTTCTCTTCTTTTTGTTTCCACTTACATTCATTTTTCTGTCTGTTCTTCCCTTATTTGTTTTAGTTTAGTTCATCCATTAGATTTACACAACTTTTACAAAATAATTTATTTATTTTCGCTGGCTTGAAATAAATTCTCATTCATGGCATCCCCAGTGACAATTGAACTTTCTACGCCACTGGATTGTTGTTCGAGATGAACTCGTGAACATAACACGGCCGTAGGCGTTTAAGCTTACTTTAGTATGATGTTTCGTCTAACGTAGCACAGAAGGCGTGGAACTCCTGATAATAATCCAACATTCAAAATGAGCAGATCCGTCGATGATATGAGGCTGTTGCATAATTGTAGGCTTTCTTTTTATTTTTTAAACATTTAATTGTTTATCTTTTATCTGCGTTCAAGTACACGATATATTCTTTCTTGTTTTTCTCAAATCTGTTACTCTTCATTGATATTATCCATGACTATGTCTTATATTGTGGCAGAAATAGTGCTTTCCTAAATTTAAATTTACGGCTACGAGCACAATCCTATGGGTAAAGAGAAACTCGTATGGGTTCTACCACGGAATATGTAATCGAGCCGCGCTATATCGTGTCTAATTCGTTACCTCTTCGTCACCGATGCCCGTCGGTATAGTTGGTATGGCGTTTACTTCCTATAGCAACTGTTCGGGTTTCAATTCTCGGTAGTGGATGCGCACTACTGATGTAGTCCCAAACATAGGACGAAACGGCCGTCCAGTTCTTTCTGAATTCTGTTGAAGTTTCTTCTAGACTCGGTCATAAAACGTACATTGTAACCTCCTAGTCACGCCTTCACAAACAACCTTCTTCATTTTGATGCTTGGCGCAACACAGTCTTCAAGTTATATTTAATGTTGTTTCTAACAAGGTTAAATTAGTAAATACCCGAAGAATGAAGTAAATTTAAGAAATACAAGAGGGTAGTTCTCCCTAATTTAATGTTTGGCACAATACAATCTTCTAATTTGACGTTTTACTTTGTAAAGGATAAATATAGTATTAGTGAATATAATGCGTCTCTCTCTCTCTCTCTCTCTCTATATATATATATATATATATATATATATATATATATATATATATAGCAGGACAGACTGGGTTCCATTGAGGGGGGTTGTTTGGGGACCTTGTGGCACGTAGTGCACCAGGTCTCTGTATTCGGCCCTTCAAAAAGTGTAGATGGTCCTGCACGAAACCTTCACCACTATAATCGAATCTCATGTGCCGGTGTCGGACTGTCAGTTTCCTGAAACTGATCTGCTTGACCCTCATACGTCGAACCCGACGGAATCAATAGATATATATATATATATATATATATATATATATATATATATATATATATATATATATATATATATATATATATATATATCAGAAAGCCGCGAACATTTGTTGAGACAGTATAATTCATCATCTGATCAGATGTCAGGGTTAATTGCTATATACTGAAACTGAAGAAACGGAACAAATACCCTGCGATAGTGCGCACCTAATCCAATGACTTTTGGCACGTCAATGTACTTTTTGTACACTTTTCCTTCGTTTTTAAATTTCTTTTTCTTCCTATTTAGTAATGAGGTCTCCTTCCTTAAACACCTTTCTTTCCCCGATCACTTTCATTTCATTTTATCAAATTCCATTTTTATATTTTATTCACATTGTTTCTTTTTTTTTTTGTAATAACAAAAATTTAAAGAAAAACAAGAGTTATCTACTTTAAATTCAATGCACAGATGATTCTCTTCCAAGCAAACACAGACAGAATACTGATATGTACCGTTTCCCTTGTTGATAAATTGCCACCCAGGCCATTAACAAGTCAACTGCTTCATTTACACACAGTGATTGACTAGCAGCTTCACACTGACAGACATTTCCGAAAAGCTTTCGAGCAATTTTCACTGCCGAAACTCGTCAAGGAATCCATTTTTGAAGATTTATTTATTTATTATTTGTATCTTTTTGCCTCCATGTTATTTCTTATTTTTTCGTGTTTTTTTTCTCTCTCTCTCTCTCTCTCTCTCTCTGTCTCTCTCTCTCTTTCTCTCTCTCTCACTCTCTCTCGTTGTCATTTCATTGTTATATGTAATTTTCAGGTTTCCGGAGCATACTGGTCTTCATTGAGTGCGTACACGCATGCGTTTAGCTTAACAAATGTTCGAAAATTTTCTCTGATGATAAATGAGACTGAACAATTTTTAAAGACTCTTATTCTAGTTTTATGTTATAAATTTTATTTTAGTTATAATCCGTACTTGATATAAAGATCAGAAAAAAAAATAACGAAAAGAAATATTTGTTTTCTCAATGTAGAACACAAATGAATGCAACGAAGCATTACAAATAAGGCGAATGAAAAATGAAACGAATGTTTAAGAACAAGACAAAAAATATCTAAGACAAATAGCGATTTTATCTGTAAATGCTGAAGAAATAAGGCGGACCTAGCGTGGTCAGTAATGGAGAGAAAAAAATCTTTTCTGTCCGCTAGTGTTGACGCATTTCCACCATCATTTTAGCGTCTTTCTTTCTAAGCTGAGCTCTTATTGTGTCTCATCCTCATTTCATTTCGTCGTCTATGTCCTTATAGCACGCCATTTTATATCCTTGTCTCTCTTCAATTCTCTGTCTCTCTTGGTTTCTCTATCCTTTGTTTTTTTTATCCTCATCTCCATGTGGTCTATCTCTCTCTCTACTCTAGTCTCCGCTGTCTTTAGTCCATTATCTTTATATTTTCGTTTTATGTATTTATCGTTCTTCTTTTCTCTATCCTTATATATCTTCCTTTCCGAATCTCTCTTCTTGATTTTATCACTAACTCTCTTAATTTCCCCATCGATATCTCTCTTAGTTTCTTTAAACTTATCACGCTTGCTTTTTCTTTCTTTCTTTCTTTCTTTTTTCCTTCTTTCTTTTTTCTTTCTTTCTTAACCTTTATCTCTCTTCCTTCCTTTCTTTCTTTCTTTCTTAACCTTTATCTCTCTTCCTTCCTTTCTATCTTCCTTTCTTTCTTTCTTAACCTTCATCTCTCTTCCTTCCTTCCTTCCTTCCTTCCTTCCTTCCTTAACCTTTATTTCTCTTCTTTCCTTTCTTTCTTTCTTTAACTTTATCTCTCTTCCTTGCTTTCTTTCTTTCTTAATCTTTATCTCCCTTCCTTCTTTTCTTTCTTTCATTCTTTCTTTCTTTCATTCTTTCTTTCTTTCTTAACCTTTATCTCTCTTCCTTTCTTTCTTTCTTTCTTTCTTTTTTAACGTTTATCTCTCTTGGTTCTTTTATTCTAATCCATACCCGTTATTTAAGCCTTATCCGTTTCCCTCATCTACCCTTATCCCTTCGTATACCAAAATCCACATATATCTTCGTTGTATATCTTAACTCATCTGCGTCCCCTATTCTTATGTCTCTAGCTTTTCTCCATCGCCATTCATTCTTCAATCAGTGCCTCTCTTAATTTCATTACCGATACCTCTCTTCGTTTCTTTAAACTTATCATTCTTTCTTTCTCTATTCCTTGTTTCTCTTTGTTTCGTTATCAATTTGCGCTTTGTATCCTTACCCTATCGTTGTCTCTCTTAATTTCATTATTGTTTACCTACAATTTTCATACTTGCTTTCTCTATCCTTAACCCTCTTTGCTTCTTTATATTTATCTATTTTCGTTAGCATATTTACCTTTCTTTATTCTTCTATCCTTGTCTCTGTTAATTTAATTGTCGATACCTCTCAACGTTTCTCTAAATTTATCATTTTTCCTTTCTCTATCCTTATCTCTCTTTGCTTCATTATCCTTGTCTCTTTTCGTATTGTATCCTTCCATTCCCTATCCTAATCTTTCTATACATATGCATCACGTTTCTTTCCTGTATCTTTATCTGAGTTTATTCCACACTCTCTATATTTGTTTGTTTCTATCCTTCTCTTTCCCTTTCTCTATCCTTATACATCTGTTATGGTGAAACACACCTATTCTATAGTTAATAGACTCTCCCAACTAATATAATTAGGAGTAGTAAGAAGAACGAGGGTTAGTCGATGTCGGACGACAGTCGAACTCTCTGCCAGAAGGCAGAGAGGAACCCGGACGAGGCGAGGCCGAAGGACAGAGTTTCGTCCGGGGAGGTAGACAGACCCGATCCTGTTTATGCTGGGTCTACGGGGATATTTTGGCCGAGCCTACGGGATCGGGAACTCCACATTAAATTCGGCCTTGTGTCACATGTGACTGCGTGGGACAGCTACTAAATAGCGTCGATGTCGGACGACAGTAGTCGATAGTTAGCCGAATACGAAAGTAGTCAGCGACCACAACAAGATTACTCTGCATAATACCTATCATATCAAGTTCCTAACGTTTTGTACGTCGAACTATTTAGGACCGATTTAGTACAAATACAAGTCTCCACTGCGAAAATAACTCCACAACAACATCTTACTTTCTCCATTAATATTTCTCATCATTTATCTCACGTACTCTTTTATATTTCAGTGTTAATCCACCATCTCTATCCTTTTTTCTCTCCTAATACATACACACTATCTATTCACTGTCTATGTAAGTCAAAGCATGTTGTGTAAAAGGACGGTATAAATAAAACATATCTACTTACGTCAGTGATATTATTCACATTTTATATTTAAATTATATATATATATATATATATATATATATATATATATTTGCCTAATTAATAGTATTCTTAACTTTTTCTTGAGAGAGATTCGTCTTTTCATGTTCCATTTTTGTAAAAGTCATCGTCCTTTTTTATAAAAAAAAATATACAGCCACCTGCTCTCACCAAGATTATCAATATATTACAATTTTCAAAAAGAAATATACGAATATACATGCACATTACTTATACGTCTTTTATTCGTCTCTCCTTCTCTCCTCCTCTCTCTCTCCCTTTTAACTACACGTGTATTTCTCTATGCTACTCACTTACTTTGCTAGCATATCCTTGTATTCTACACTCTTTATTAATAGTATTTGCTATTTACATATAAGACAATCAACATTACGCAAAGACGTTTCACTTGTATTTTTTAAATTTTTCTCTGGACTCTATACATTCGCTTTCACTTCCTCCCCTTTCTCTCTCTCTCTCTCTTTCTCTCTTTCTCACACCCTTTCTCTTTCCTACCAAAATACCTTATATATATCAATATCTGTTCAACTCAAATTTAATTTTATTATGGTAAATCTGTTTTCGATTTTAATTGCAATTTATATGAAGGTAATTTTACCCCATTCCCACAAATAATTAACATATCCTGTGCAATCTTTCATATTATCTCTCATTGATACCTATCTCTCTCTCCACTTCAGTACTCTCTCTCTCTCTCTCTTGCTCGCTCGCTCGGTCGCGCGTGCCAGTCTTTTGTCTTTTATGACGTGTCACTTATTAATCATAAATTATCACTTTCATTTTAATTCGGCATTAGTCACTTTCTTATCGCCGTAACGAAGCTTTCCCACTAACATTTCTATAAATATTTTCATCGTAACTATTCTGATGAGCTTTTCTCTTTGGCACATAGACTTTACGAACTTAAGTGGAGTAGCAGATTGACAGTTAACTCACATCATGTTGTAATTGAAAATGACAGTAACAGTTGATTTTCTCGAAATTTTCACTTGTGGAACTCTCTTGACGTTTCTTCTCAACTAAATTCTTAAAAACTTTTAATGTAATATAATTCACCACCTTCTGTTTTCTTGATTCCTATTCCTTTATTGTTCTCTCGCCTTAATATTTTTTCTCGGACGATGTCATTCCCAGTAACAATTTCGTTTTAGTATCGACTTACTTGGGATGAAAAGATGAAAACAAGTTTCGACAAGGAACAACCTTTTAAATCATCATTTTTCACTATTTGTTTCTTTCCTTTTCAATGTTTTTATCTTTGTTTTATACTATTTCAAAGGAGTTAGTTTCAAAACGTACCTTTTGTACATATGTCTGTCACCGAAATCCTAAAATACTAACGAGTTACTTTCTAATTCAACCAAGTTCTTCGTTAAATTCATACTCAAATTTTTAAGTATATATATATATATATATATATATATATACACACATATATATATATATATATATATTAATGCATATATATATATGTGTGTGTATATATTAAATTAAAATTTCATTACTTATTTTTAATAGGATCCCCTCGTAAGTTTCTTAGTATCTTTATCAAATGAAGAAAAAAAATTACAACATTGATAGGAAATTTGTCTATTACCAGAGGATTCTATTAAAAATAAGTACACAAAAACTTGTCTAAATTATTTAATAAGACATATCGTAAGGAAACCATGCTGCCAAAATATACGCTATACACATATATATATATATATATATATATATATAGAAGGTACTCCGTAAAAACGAGTAATGACATTGCCGAAAGCGCATTGATCAATAATAATTACTACTACTTCTATACAACAGTACCCAGAATTAATACTATTCCTATACAACACAGCCTTAAATTACTAGTACTGCTATAGAACACAGCTTAGGACAGAAACACAAAAAATATACAAATAACGATCCTCTTTAAAATGACTAATGAATTTGGACAATAATCACTACAGAGATTTTCTACGCCCTCTTAATCCTCATCAAATAAAAAATGCATGAACATTTATACTGAATAATTATACTGAGTAAAATACTTATAAATATTTCCTCGCCCGTCATTTTAATTGAAATATATATAAAGGAAAGTTTGCTGAACATAAATTGAATAACCCCAGTATCTATACTGTGTTATAGCGCAATTCAATTCTTCATCTGAATTAATTATATTAATTTCAATCAAGCACTGATTCAAGATTACTGTTGTCTCTCTATGTGTAGGCATCTCTCTCTCTCTCTCTCTCTCTCTATCTATCTATCTATCTATCTATTTATCTATCTATCTCACTCTCTTCTCCAAATTTGATGCTGTCACGGATGTTGGACTTTGTTATATTTTTCTTCAGAATTTGTATTACTACGACTTTCATCTCAAATAGGTAGTTCTGCATCATACTTACAATGATATTTCATACTTTCTTACTTCATCATTGCTTTTATATTGTCTGTCTCTCTATTCCACCAGTAATCTGACGTCTAAATTCTTTCCTATATTTGTTAATTCAGCTAAACTCCCCTTCCACTGTCTATCTATAGCTCTCTCACACGTTTTTTTTTATTATTTTTTTTTTATTTTGTGCATCAATCATCAGAAATGGCGCATCACACTATTCTGAGACTGGTGATCCAGCCTCGCTTTTTCTACATTTGACAATCCCCCATGCCACATAAATACCGTCGAATCATCTTCATTTCCTTCTTATTCACTTGACGGAAGTTCCATCCGGACAACTTCTCTAAAAAAAAATCGCTCCATTTTTAAACAGACGTTCGAGAATATGATACCCCAATCACTGCAATCTTAAATTCTTCAAGTCTCAGATCAAATGTTATTTGTAGGCTGACCAAGATACTCTCATGGAATGTGATCAAATTTTCGATCCCATTCATGATGAAACACTAATTCTTTTGTTAATGACGTCGTCATCACTGCAAACCAGGGTCATAGCCAAGAAACAATGCAGTTATTAATTAGTAGATTTTTAATTAATGCATGCAAGATTTTACAGCTCTAGCATCACTCTTTCATAGACAGCCGATAAAATTCTAATCCCACCCTCGGACATTTAACATTTCTTTTTTCTCTACGTCGAGTGGATCTTGTGTCATGCATTGAATAAATATTATTAAAGGAAACCTTCTGTCTAAATCATAGTTATTATTTTCCCTTTCGTTCTAACTTGAAGTCTACATGTATGTCCCTACTAACATCAATTATGTTTAGTTTGTATTTGTGTTTATTTTAAGTTTATTATTGGGTTCATTTCCCTCCCCTCTCATTTTATCATTATTAGAATTGTATATATATATATATCATCATTAAAATTTTTATGGCATGGGGCGCGATTTTGGGAGGTCTCCCTTGAGAGCACGTGGTATTATGATGGTTGAAGAATTGTTTGGTGATGGACGAGTTCTTTTGGTGAATGATTAAAATGTAATGTACGAATGGGTCGCGAATC